AACCTTCTTCCCGCTTTGCACACCCCCATCACCTCCTTATCCTTGCTTCGTCGCTCTATCCTCTTGTTTTTTCTCCATGGTTCGATGCTCATGAATAATATCTAGTGGACTAGGCATTTTACCTCCCATCTTCTCATCACCTTTGCTCAAGCCATTATTTCCTTTTGTTTTGCTCTGATTCTTCTCCTGCCTTCCGTTCAGTTGCTTGGCATTAGGCTCCTTCTTTTTATTTCCACTCATCTTTCCATCTAGACTCTCAACCACCTTCACTTTCTCCTCCAGGCTTCCGACGTTATAATTTTCTCCAGCTTGATTAACGTCGGGGGCTCGCTGCATGGGGTTCTCCTCTTTCATATCTTCAACATACAGAACGTGAAAATTTTTTGCAGGCGAACTTGAGTCAGTCCATTTTGCCCTGCTCGCCTAACAGGCGCTCCCTCTCTTCTTTTTACAGTCCTCCACTCCCCATAAACTCTTCATTCTGTGAGATCCACATGCTGAGTCTCTGGAACCTTTTCTACCTCCTCTGCAACTGCTTTCATATTCATAAATCGACACTCACGATAACTTGACGGTTTACCATACTTGCCACACTCCCCAAATATATTCTTAAAACCCTCGTATTCAACCAAGTATGAAAACACTCTACTTTGTATTGCGACAATAACGGTTTTGTCAGATCCACTTCCTCACACACCCTAGCAAACTTTGCTTGAGCACCCATAGCCATTGCCCGATCTACTTGAATTGGTCTACCAATCAGTTGGGTTATGCGCAACATCGCCTCCGCATTCACAAAGTCCACAGGTAATTAAGGATGCTGCACCCATACAATTGTGGATTTTACTTATGTCTTCCAAGGGTTAAAACCCTTAAACCAACGATGAACAGTGAGGTAAGCATCACCCAACATCCATGGACCACTAGATGAGGCCAGCTCATAGTCTGGGGGAGACATGAACTACACCATAAAGCACACGTTTTTCATATATGTAATCTGCAAGTCCCAATTTATAGTCCATAGATAATTCATCTATGGGATAACGCCATATAGGGCACTCTTCTACCCAAACCCTTAACAACCAAAGCGAATCTCCACTCTCGCCGCCTACGACTCTTCTCCGCAACATTGAAGAGAGCCGTCGGACACTTAGGATCATATTCCAGTTCCAGCACAACATCATCTTCTTCTCGTTCTAGGGCATCCACATCCTCGGAATCTGAGTCTACAACATACCAACCTTCATCAGTTGCCTGTTCTCTGAACAATTTTCCAGCTGCCCCGTCCCAGGCTAATGCCTTCTCCTTCAACGGTTGAGTATTATCCAACATTTCAGTTTCCATCTCCGAGTTGGTCGACAATCCTACCCCCTCCCGATCCAGGTTCAAGCCTTGTACTCGCATTTTGGGTTGCACGGTCTCCTTCTCACTTTTCCCGTTAGGAGAGGAAGATGTCGTGACTGGCCGCCGGCCAGGGGCGGACCTAGGGCAAGGGGAGGGGTGTCGTCCGACACCCCTCCGCTCGAAAATTTTGTGAAGGACCTCCAATTTTTCGGTACAAAATTTTTTAATTTGGAACTTCCGACACCGCTCTAATAATTATAAGCGACACACTTTCATTATACGACAATAGTTTTAATGTTATAAAGTTATTCGTCATAATTAGTAATTAACAATAATAAGTAAAATCAAATAAGCATGCTTGTTTTAAGTAACCCACAACCCAATTTAACTTATTGATTTGTAGTTAATAGGTGAATTGCCTATATTTATGGGAGATTATGGTTTGATTTTGGTTAATTTGATAGAACTAGAGAAAAAATGCTAATGATATTACTTAGGCATACTTTGTTTTTTCTAAAATAGCCGATTGGTAGCAAACTAATTTATTTTAATTTGATTTTAGACGTAGGTCGATTCTCTTTAGTTGAGTGACTAATTTATGAATGATTATGTAGTTGTGTATATCGAAAAAGGTTTGATTTGCAACATAAATGATGAATGTATTTTAAAAAAGTCTCAAATATAAAAAATCGTCATAATTCGTAGTAAACATGAGGTTGTGAACTTATAAATAAATTTCCAGTAATTTCTATTAAATTTTTATTTCATTATCTTAATTATTATAATTTTTTATCGGCGACACCCCTCTTCAATAATCCTGGGTCCGCCACTGCCACCGGCTACCACTAATATCATGTTGCTTATCTACCGAGGCTGGCGGTAGTCTAGACGGCTGCGCTGCCATGGAGTACGGAAAATCCAGGCACAAAACACGAAGGTTTCTTTCCGAAAAACTCGGAGAAAAACCCTAGATCTCTTGGGTTTTGTATAATTCTTTCAATAGTAATGAAATTGATCTTCTGTGTAAGTTTTCAATGTAAAAAGCTCTCCCAATAAAATAAATTTAATCTCAAGTCATTATAAAAAAAAATCTTAGTTTAATCGTCCCTCTCATCAAAACTTTCCTTAATAAATTATTATCATCTTAAATACCCTCCCACATAACAACTCACCCTTACCAAAAATTTTCTTTCTGTTTGTCAAAAAAAAAAAAAATTTCTTTCTATCTTTGAAAATCGTGGCAAGCGAGAATTTTATAATTAAAAACAAAAACATATGCAGCTAGCACATTAATTTTCCCTTGCTCCTGTCCACCCCTTCCAGTGAGGGAGAAAGTACCCCGGGAGACACATTTTTCTCTCCACCTTCCCTCATAAAAAAATAGTCGGTAAGTGATCCACACTTACTACTCCAACAGTTAGGGAGGGACTCTCTTTTAGTATTGTTCTCATGATGAACCTTTCGTCTCTTATCGTTTGTGGTAACGGTTCTATCTAGTAGTTGTTATCACAATGGATCAATATCATCGAACACGATCTTTCCCATAAGGGAATCTCTCCAAGCAACCCTCTCAACCAACTCGCTTCTTCACTAGCCACTGTTAGTGCTATAATTTCTGATTCCATAGTTGATTGAGCTAGGATTGTTTGCTTCTTAGACTTTTAAGACACAACTCTTCCAGTGACATTTAAAAACATACTCACTGGTTGACTTGGAGTCCTCTAATAAGGTATTCCAATTCGCATCACTTTACCCTTCTAGTAAAACAGAAAACTTTTGATATCATATATCAAAGTTTTTTGTTCCCTTAAGGTCTCTCAAGGCTCTTCCATTAGCATTTCAAAGATTCTTACTAGGACAACTAATAAGCATGCCGAGTAACCTATAACATATACAATGCAAGGCTTCATGTTTATCAGTTGTACCTTGCAGACTGCATATGCAAGCATATTTTGACGATTTTACACTGTCTCCAGTGTTCTTGAAACTATAACTAGCATTTGCATACATACACATGCTTACAACTTGTATTTCTTTAAGATCATAACTGAGTAGTCAGATCGATATAGAGAAAGCCTCTTTCTACATCCTAGTCATATGGATTTCCAAGCATAACCCTTACTTAACACAAATCCTTTCACATCGAAATCATAGTTCAAAACACATGCACCAATGTAATCAAAATTACTATACTCCACAACATGCACCAATAGGAAGAGGTTTTGCGCGAAAACAGAAGCTCTCTGAATCTCACACTCTCTCATGTTTCTAACCTTTGAATTATGTGTTTAGAGGATCTGAGGGGTGAACTGTTTATAGGAGTCGAGACCCCAAAATATTCTTGTTTCGTAGGAAATAAGTAACATTCTAATAGGAATATATCCTTAATTAAAACACGTCCAGTGAGATAATTAACTTTAGAACTTCTCCAAAACATATTAGTCTCAAACTGACCACCTCAACTTGCTTGCTTGACCGACCGTGTGTGGAGGTTCATCAAGCCGTCCCTCTCTCACAAAAGTGGATCACTCGAAGCACAACCCTTAAGAGCAACAAAGGTGGAATCAAGCTCCCGCCGATTGGAATGGATTGGATTCATTTAGGGCACCATTAGAGTCACATGGGGTGCACTCAGTCGGTAGAGAGATGTGTCTAGCCAGAATTTACATTGTGTTCGGTATGCATGACAACAACTGAATGTTTTAAAAATTTTGTAAACCGAAAAAGAAAATTAAGGTTATAAAAATCTGGCTGAGTCGCGGACTAGGTCGCTCTCTTTAAGACTTTCGTGACACTGCCACGTAATGCGAACGACAGACTATCAGTCGATCGCCTTTGGGTTAAAACAACTACTCCTTTGCTCATAAGTTTTGCGAAAATCGGAGCTCTCACTCTATCTCTCATGTTTTTGTTCTTTGAATTTGGTGAGTTTAGAGGGTCTGAGGGGCCAGCTATCTATATGCGCTGAGACCCCCAGAATATTGCTCTTTCATGAGCAAATAAGTAACGTTCCTTTAGGAAGATACATATCTATTTAATTAAAACATGTCCAATAAAATAATTAACTTCATAATTTCTCCGAAAAATATTAGTCTCAAACTTAATGTCATCCAGTTCAACACCTGAAGTGAGGGTTGTTCAGGCACCTGCAACAGGAGGGTATTCAAGGTCTAAGCGCATTTGCCTCTACAAAATTGGCAGTGCAGCTATTTGTATTGGTAAAGAAATCAAAATAGATCAAATATTTCAGAATTTGTTTGAATTGTTTATTCAATTAATTTAAAATAAGTCAGATCTAGCTCAGACCAATAAATAGAACGGATGTTATAGTTAAAGTTGATAGCTCTTTGTTGTTCAAAATGAATGGTTTCATTTTTCTAATTTTCTAATTGTTCCAAAGTCTTAGGGGTCGTTTGGATGATTATTTGGACGAGGTATTTTGACCCAAATAACTCATTATGAATAACTGATGGGCCGGTGGTATTTCAGAATAACGCATTCCCTTCTCTTTTCTGCCTCTCTCCTCTCTCCTCTCTCCTCTCTCTTGTCTTCTTCCTCCTCCCTCTTTTGTTCAATCCTTTTGATTCTTCTGTCCATATCCAAATCGACTGAACCAAAATCTTTTCTGCTGGTACTTTTGAATTCCTCTCTGTTTTTCAGATCACAATGAGTAGGCGGAACCCTACGTTGCGACGAACAAGCGGCAGCAAACGAAAGTCTTCTTCAATGACGAGGAGGCGGCATTGAGTGTGCGAATGTGAGGACAGTAGAGGGTTCGAAGGCGCCTGCAACAGGGGGTTTGTTGGTGACGGCGGCAGGATTGAATATCCAACGAATCGAGCTCCGCCGCCGTAGTCATCGAGGAAGAAAGAATAGTGGAAGGCGGCGAGAAGCGGGCTTCTTTTGTGCATTCTCGGTTGATTTTCCTAATTGTGTCTCGAATTTAACACTTCAATCAAGTTGGTGATGGATGTCAATAGGTTAGTAATGATAATTTTGGGGGTCCTAATGATGATTTTGGGGGTTCTTCTGGGAATGCATAGTTCGTTTGGAGATGTCTGTGGGAGGAGGGATAAACAAAAGAGTTCTAATAAGATGAGAAGGAAGCAAAAAAGTGAGGGTTGATTGGTCTTTTTGCCTTTTAATTGTAAAATAACTCAGGTAAAATAACTCACCATCCAAACATAACATTTAAAACCAATTAATACATCAATACCACACAAACACCACATTCCTATAAAATGAGTTATTTCAACTTACAAATACCGCATCACCAAAAAACTCATCCAAACGACCCCTTAGAAGTTGAATGAATCACACTTATCTTAGTGGAGCACTTCTACTATGCTATAAAGTATTAGTGCTTTTATATAAAACTTAAAGTTGTACCATATCGTTAAATGTATAAGTTCATGTTGTACCATAAAGGAATTTGTACCATCACATAAAGGTATAAGTTCAAGTTGTACGATAAAAGTATTTGTGCAAAAAAATATAGTTACAATCTAAAGTTGTATCATAATTTAAAAGTACAACTCCAACTCCAAGTTGTAACATAAAAGATTAGGAAACCGTGCTGTGCCGGGCGGTACAACCGCAAATGTTGAAAACCGGAGCTGTGACGGTACGACACAACCAAAATAGGGAAAAACCCATACCGGCCGATATTTTATATTTCAACCGTCTACCGCGATATACCGGACGGTTAGTTGGACCGCCGGTACTGAAAAATCAATATTAAAAAAACACAAAATCTCAGGCTCTCAATTCCATATCTGTGATTATCCTTCACCGGCGTGCTTTTTCTCTTCATAAGCACCGTGTTCTTTATAATCGTCGTTGCTGTCTCGTCGGCGTCAACTTTATAAAAAAAAATTCGTGGAAATTTGACTTTCACAAATCGAGATTGGGAAGTAGATCAGGATGAGGAAACTAGGTATCGCCGATACAAATGCAGTAGGAGGAAGAAATCGAAAATAAAAAGTAACAGATGATTTGGGAACAGATTATTTGGGATGTGAGAGAGAAGATAGAGAGCGATAGAGAGGGGATCGGGGGAGACTATGACAATATGAGAGTGAGTTCGTGAGAGAGATGGAAATTAAACCCTTTTGTACTTTGGATATTTTAATATAACAATATGAGATAATTATTAATATTTAATATATATTTGAAGTAAGGACATACTTATTTTAACGAGCGAAAGTCAATACTTTAGAGGGTTAATTGCATGGTTGGTCACTGAGATTACAAAAAAATTCATGTTTGATCATTGGAAATATTTAAATTCAATGTTGGTCACTCAAATTAGTTAAATGGTTCAAGTTTGGTCACTCTCCGTCCATTTCCGTTAACTCTAGCTTACGTGGCAGTCAACTTTCATAGTTGACCGTTAAATATGTGACGTGGCAATTAAAAAATTATTAAAAATAAAAAAAAATTATATTTTCCAACTCATTATTACATTCATTAAAAATCAAAAAATCAAAAATCAAAATTCTTTTTTTAACACCCCAATACCCTACCTGACCAAACCTCATCACCACCGGAATACAACCTTCGGCTCGGCAGTGACATTCCTTCCAGGTTCGGCGAGCTCCCCATCATCACACTATCCGTATCGAACACCTGCTCCATCCGGTAAACCACCGGCGACTCCAACCACGACGACAAAATCCCCCTAATCTTCTCGTCGTTGTGCCGCACCACCGCCTCTTGCAGTCGCCAAGCCGCCCACCCCAAATCGTTCCCCAGTAGCTCCCCCGCCGGGGCGGAGGTCCTCATCGGATTAATCGAGGTCCCGAAGTAGTCAAGATGCATGGGAGGATTCATCCTTCCCCTGTTGTTGGTCGCGAGACGGCACCCGGTGATCTTCTCCGGAGGGAAATTTCGAGCGCGGGTTATGCGTCGCTAGACCAATGAGGATAGGGATTGGAACGGCGAGATCTTGGTGGTCCGGAATTGGCAGTTGGTTTTTTATTTGATTTTAGCAATCGATTCGGCCGAGAAGTGGAAGAAGCACTCGAGTAGCTCTGGCGATTCGTAGCGGCTAGGGATTTGATCTGACGAAAGAGGGATTATCGGGCCGTGGCCTTCAGAAAACCACCGTTTGTTCATTGAAGGACGGGAGATTGGGGTTTTTTCCCGAAACGTTTCGGATAAGGCAGTGAGGAAATTCCAGAACGAAGTCCCATCACCGACGGCGTGATTGAAGGAGAACCCGACGAAAACTCCGTCAACGAGCTCGGTGACTTGAATTGTCACGAGGGACATGGTGTGGCTGTCGTGGTTGATCGCTCAGTTATGGTCGAAGAACGATTGAACGACGACGATGGACGTAGGTCGGAAAAAGGACATCGGAGATGGTCAGATCCGCGACGGCGTGGATCAATCGGGCTCCGGGTCTGTTCACACAATCGAGGGAGACGACGTAGGAGCCTTCGTCGTAGGGGCATTCGGAAGTGACGAGGCAGCCGACGAGTGGGTAGAAGTGGGAGAGTGTGAGGGAGAGGGCATGGTTCAACCCGCGGAGGAATTCGACGATGTGCAAGCCGGCGGAGGGTTTTTGGTAGAGATGACCCTTCTGGATGTAGTGGACGGAGAGCATGAGGAGGTCCCATGGAGGCAAGTGTATTGGGCGTTTCATTTCGTCAGCGGAAGGAATGCTGCTGCAGGGCTGGAGGTTGTGTTCTGGTGGTGGTGAGGTTGGGTTGGGTAGGGAATTGGGGTGTGTAAAAAAGAAATTAGGTTTCTTATTTTTTTTATTTTTTAATGAATGTAATAATGAGGTGGAAAATATAAAAAATTATTTTTTCATTTTTAATAATTTTTTAGTTGCCACGTCACATATTTAACGATCAACTATGAAAGTTGACTGCCACGTAAGCTAGAGTTAACGGAAATGGACAGAGAGTGACCAAACTTGAACCATCTAACTAATTTGAGTGACCAAGATTGGATTTAAAGATTTCCAGTGACCAAACATGAACGTTTTGTTGTAATCTCAGTGACCAACCATACAATTAACCCATACTTTAGAAGTGATAGATTTAGAGGGGATTTGTGTAATTTTAGAAGTGAATGATCTTGAAAGTATCAACATTTTCATATGTGATTGATTAGGATATTTAGGTTTGTTGTCCGGTATATTCCAGTTTTATCCGGTATTACTTCGAAAAGGTACCTTTATTTTACCGGTACGATTTTTTGACAAAAATAGATATTATTATTACAAAAACGTTATTTTACCGGTACACAATGGTTGAACCATGGTCATACCACAAAATACCCTACCACATATGAGTCCGGTATGACTTTCGGTACGGTTTCCTGAACTATGTCATAAAGGCAACAACATATAGCACCAATGCTATATAGCATTGTAAACTTCCTCATTCTAGTGTTCATTTGATCTAAAATAAAGGAACTATTAGTACATTGTTAAATATAAATAAAGAATCCAAATCTTTGATACTTTTGTAATCCCGAACACAACATACAACTCTCTGTTGTACTGTGCTCTCCGAGTGTGTCTTAAGATAGTATCAAATCAGTATATTTTAATGTGTTCTTCATCATTAATATGTTTGCTCGTGCTAATAGTGGCCGTTTGGAAGAATCGATGGAGCACGCAAATCCCAAAAATGTGTAGTTTCACCCCGAAAAATAATTTCTCCAATAGGTGAACAAATTAGATATTTACCCAAATTTGTAGGTCCTTGAGCTGTATATGTACAAGTTTTCTCCCTCCGAGTTAGTATAATTTCTCAAGACATAGCTTTAAAACAGTTCATATTGGAATGCACCATCAATAATAGTGGCTACTTTTGACAAACGACAAATGAACATACGAAGCGTAAATGAGTTTACATCTTGGGATCATCAACCTATACGTAGCCGAACTTCTAGCCCCTCGAGATGGTTTAAACTTAATCCGTCGCTTTGGTCTACACGAAATCATACTGAAAGGAGACTTTGAAGTCGTCATTCGCCAGCTTCTCAGAGGAATAGAGTCAGATGCTATTGGAGGTCCGATGTTCAGAGACTGTCATCAGATAATCACTGCTCTAGACATAGGCTAAATTTTGTGCGGTTTATAGAAATGTCAATCGAGCTTGGTGCTTTCTGTTTAATTTAAAGGTGCTTTCATTTGATTATGTTACTTGGGTGGGAAAGGACATATAAGGTAGTCTTATTTTTTTCTTGTATTCTATTGTTATATCTTAATTTTTTTTTTTTAAAGTACTCATTTCAACAGGAAGAGACCAGCCCCACACCGATTACTTCAAAATAAGATTTAGAGTGAGTCAGAGCGAATTGATGTATGGCTACAGTTATGTATGCTCAGTTTACATTCAAATATCAACTACCAACTCCAACAGCTATACCATAATTCTGACTTCTGAGGGGAACTGATCAGCCAAACAAGAGGCTGGGCTCCAAGCATTGCAGAGAGTCGCAGTAATTCAACTAGAAGAATATCAGTATAAAATGCATAGTCTGGAAAGTGCATCAACTCGGAGAACATGTGCCTTTTTCTTCTTTGCTTACTGGTGCTTCACAGTGAAGAAGAATAAGAGCCTGGTGTGGTTTGGTTTTATAGGGAGGGAGCCTGGGGAGGCTTCATCGAGTAGAAGAACGTAGAGTCGTTGGCAGCCATGACCACTGGAGATGGTACGAAATCAAAGCCGTGGGCTGCTGCTGCTGCTGCCGCTGTGTTGTGGTTGAAAGGTTTCGAGGGATGACGAAGAAGGGTAGCTGAAGTTGAGAATCCTGATGATGCTGCAGTGGTCGTAGAGAACAATGCCATTGGGGTAGTAGCTGCGACCTGTTGCCCATGCATTTGCCACGCCCAGCTGTGGGGGAGCCCATGAGAAGAAGCTTGTTGATATTGATGTTCTATCGTCTTCTCTGTGGTGGCTTTTTCCTGGGGAAAAAAAATACAGCAGTAATCAATTTCAGTGACTACTTAAGTGCGCTAAATATATCACGAAGGCTATGTTGCACATTATGCCACCTCATTTTCCACAATTCCACTTGCAGAAACATATTTGTTTTCTGCTAATGGACTGCTAACTGTATGGAGAATGAGAGTAGTAGCATGTTTCGTCTGGGGAATTCATTGGATTGGTTGGAAAAAAAAAGAACCTAAATAAATGGAACCCAGAAAGCTACTAAACTTTAAGAACATCACATGAAGAAGGGAAACAAATTAAGGCTCGCTTTTACACTGTTTATTTCACACCCAAGTCAAATTTCACTTGAATTGTAACACATATAAGGACAATAAATGGAGTACAGGTATGAAAAGGAAAACTAAGTTCAGCCTGGATAGGAAAGATGACACCAGAAAAAAAAGTAGGATCAGCAAGTTGACATAATCATGGTAGTTTGAAAATTGGTGTATTGTAGTTACATCATTTGGTTTCTATGATAGTTATTGTAGTATTTAAATAAATTATATTACTTTTTGAGTGAAATGTCACTTTTACCCTTTATTTTTAATATAAAAAAACAACACATAAAAAGGTAGGGACATATTTGGAAGAAGAAAAAACACAACAATCTCCATCAAACAATCTCAATGAAAACTTGAGATTTAACAATGCAAACAATGCATGTATTGTTGGCGCAGAAAATTCAAAAAACGATGCATTGTGGACATTACATGCATTGTAACTATCTTAACCAAACTATCACCAAAACCAAACGACCCCTAGGTTGTACAACTAGACAAAGTGCATTGAACAATATATTATAGAAGAGGATAGGACCAGAACTTGATAAGACCACACCAATATGAACATACCTCGGCAAGGAAGAAAGTGGCATATGCACCTTTCAAGGGTACTGAGTGATCTGATGATGTCCTCACAAACCCTTTGAAAAGTGGATCACCAACCATTTTACCCATTGGGTTCTCTACCTACATATCGACAAAGTTGTACCACACTATTAAGTTGCATTGCCAAAACTTCATAGCTAATAAATCGGTGTTCCTAGATCTAAACAACCAGACTAGTGAATGCAAAAAACATTAATCTCAATAGGTTCACTGCAGCAGAATCCTTAGCCTGGAATAGAATCCAAAATTTTCGGGATTACAGTGTTATGCTTTACCATTGAACTCTTGTCACGATCTTGAGGTCTTGAGTGGAATGGCAGGTGGCCCGCATTTTCCTTGGAAGCAAAGGCAAAAGGAGGGGATATTCCCAAGTTAAGGTCAAGGTTGTGGCCAGTTCCTGCATTGAAACCATATAGAGAAACGAGTTTATCCAGAACCACCAGAAGTACACCAGACCCAAATACACTCCATTCGTGCACAGTAGCTAACCTTCAGAACTAGCCTCAGAAGAAGGCATCTCCCCTTCATATGTACAAGGCTCGAAGTTGGTCACAGCCTCCCTTCCATTACACTTGATGGCTGCCTTGTCATAAGCCCTGATTTCCAGAAAACCAAAATGGAGACACACATTGGATGGGACCGTATTGAGGTCGAGAGAATTTATGGTAATAAACTATCAGTAGTAGGGTGTAATCAATGTTCATTAGGACCTTGCAGCTTCTACCTCGCTGTCGAACAGCCCAAGATATATATACCTGCACGCAAGCATTGTAATCTCCCAGGTGAAAACACCATAGCGCAATTATTTCATCTTTGAAAAGATACATCTTTAAAAAATTTCCCCAAACAAAGCAGAAACTAAAGCAGTAATTTGTTTGTCCAACTACGCTTCTAAAATTCTTTTCATCACATTGAAGCACTCATTTGATAAGCACAATCTAGCATTTCCAAACATACAAACCACGGAGTGAATTTAGGGATAACGAATTCTCACTTTTTGCCGAGGAACTGTCCCATTCTAGCTTCCCACCGGCCACATTTGTGCAATGTCACTCCTCGAAATTTCGAACTCCCACGAGAGAAACCTGTGCTTTGTCGGCGTAGTATGTGCACAGATTCTTCCTTGGTCAGATTCTTCATCTGATACACAAAGCAGCATAAGACACAATCTTCTAAGCCTATAGAGAACTCAGATAATCAATTTCTACAACTACCCCTATCTCCCAAACCTGATTCATGTCTTCCTCATAATCGCCAAGGCTGAAGTTGATATCAGCATCAACTCCCCTGAACTTAATTGCAGCTCGATCATAGACCCTGAACACCAAAGAGAATAGAAAGGTATGTCTTACAAAAGCATAGTTCGAGATTGAACCAGAGATTAGTAAATAAAAAAAATTTCAAATTCTGAGATGTTCTGCATAACTAGAATTGGTACCTTGCAGCAGCATGAGCCGTGTCAAATCCACCTGTAAATTCGAAACTAGACACCATTAAACTACATCCCATCGATAGCAAACAGAAGTGAAGATGTTTCTTCTTCAATACAAACTTAAACCACAGGGAAACCAACGGAGCAGGTAGCATCCCTACCCAGATACACCTGTTTCCCGCAGTCCCTGAAATGAGTGAAGGAAAATGGAAGAAAAAAACTCATTAACCAAACAGACATTCTCTTATTTCGCATTACATCCTATTTGCGCCCAAGAAAATTTAGGTTTAGGTGGCAACTCGGTAGTTTCAACGAGACACGGGCACACAAATTCAATTCGGATTCAACCAAAACTTGACCCCGAACTAAGCTAGCCAATTCAAAATTCACTACATCAGCCAATCAAAAGCCAATAGGAATTCGATAAGAAGACCACGGAGACTCCGAAGAAGTTGAAGTAACGATGAATACAGAAGGAGTACCAGATGTGAGATTCCCATCTGCCAGTCCGTCTGTAGAAGGTAACTCCCCTGTACTGCGAGCTCCGAGACCTGGGACCCCTCCTTCTCTTCTTCGCCTGCTGCTGTGCGGCTTGCTGAATCACCCGCACCGGTCCGCCACTGGCGATCTCCTGCTGCCTCTCGAACGTCAGATCAATCCAATTCGCCCGTGCCGGGGACCCGTACCGTCCCGCAGAGTTTTGCTTAACGGGGAAGAAGTCCTTGGTGACAACGATGCCGTCTTCGTCATTCTCGTTTCCGCCACCGCCACAAACTTTCAGAATATCGAAGTTGAAGGGGCAGATGATGGTGGCGGTGCCATTCATGAGTTTGTTGTTGTTGTTGTTAGCAGCGTCGCCGGTGTAGGCGCGTGTGGAGCACGAGTCATCGTTGCTCGACGCATCGGTGTTGACTACCGATGAGTTAGACGTCTCCGATGCCTCCGGAAGCTGGCGATGGCACTGATACTTGTCCTCCTCCATGAAAGAAGCCGAGTCGGAGTAGTGAGTCGACTCGGCCAATTCCACATTCAGATTAAGATCCAACATGCTCACAATCAGCTTCAGGGACGCACTTCTTGTTGTCCCTACTCAGCTCAATTTCGAAGCTAATTCAGCTCAAATTAGCTTACCGTACTAAGCGAGCAGGAAATTTACATAATCGATCGCCGATTCGTGGTAGAGAATGGAGCAATCGGACGGCTGCTGATCGATCACAGGTGGAAACTTCTTGTAAACTTCACAGACTAGATACCAAACGACGGCAGAGAGGTAGAATCGAGAAAGCAGCCGAAAGAAACAAGAGAAATAAACTGAGAGCTGAAGAGAAGTTAGAGGCTACTTTCTTTTAATCTCTCTCCTATTCTCTCTGTCTTGCTCTCTTTTTTATTCTTTTCCTGTTTCAGCTATCGCCGGCAATAGTGACCAGCGGCCGGAGAAGTAGCTAACGGCGGCTTAAACAAGCTCCGGAAAGCTGAGGCGATGAGGAAGCGGAGGGAGGAGTTGACGGAGAGGGAGTGTGGCATAGGGGTGGGCAACGGGACGGGACGGGATACCCATCCCGTTTTAAACGGGTACCCAGTCCCGTTTGGAGACCAAAGGCCATCTCATTTCTCATATCCCAAACCCATATGGGAAATGGGTACCCATTTCCCGTACGGGAGGGATAACGGGTACCCATACTACCCATAAATACCCAAAATTTTAACAAAAGTTTAAACTTAACTTGTATTTGTTTAACAATCACAAGACACAAAATACATCCCAATCACAAATACTCGGTTTGTAAATAACACATTCATGAACAATCACAACACATAGAAATAAAGCATTCCAAGCACCAAATTATCAAATAAGAAGTTTCATTCAACACAACCAAATGGGAGGCATGCTGCTACTTTTCTTGTGTTGCTGAATGCAGAAAGTATCCAAATTTTTAGGTTCATGGGAAGCTAAAATCTATAGCAGAGAAGCTTAGTCTCACTGAAAGGGTAAGGGCCCTAGGCCCAAATGGCAAATGGAATTTAAATTGCAAGGGTGAGGGCCGAAATGGCCAATGGGTTCTGAATTGGGTTGGGCTGCCTTTGTATTGAATGGGTATAACGGGTACCCATATTACCCAAATGGGTATTCGCGGATAACCCGCGGGTACCCATATTAAGAATGTACAATCCCAAGTCCCATCCGTTTATAATACTACGGGTAATATGGGTACCCGTAACCCTTAAAAAACGGGAAGGGTACGGGTATACCCAAATACTCGTTTCCCGTTGCCCACCCCTAGACTGAGGTAGGGAGGCGAAATCATTTCATCGGCGACGACTGGAGTGGCAAGGGAAGAAGAAGAAAGAGAGAGAGAGAGAGAGAGAGAGAGAGAGAGAGAGAGAGAGAGAGAGAGAGAGAGAGAGAGAGAGAGAGAGAGAGAGAGAGAGAGAGGGGGGAGATGGGACGTGTGAAGAAGCATTTGAGGAGAGTCATATTAGGCCAAGTCCAATACAAAACCCCAAATTTGGGGCATTCATCTCCAAATTTGGGGACTGATCTCCATTTTCCCTTCTTTTGCTTCAATGCTTCAATCTCTATATTTGGGGATTTTCATTTTTTTAGTTTTTCCATTTACTTAAAAATGTACTTATCGTAGCCTTAATATAATTTATTCATGTTAATTTTTGTATAGTTCATCATCATTTTTAAATACAAATTTTTTTATAGAATTTTGTTAAATTCCGAGTCCGAATTTTTTTGACAAAAAATTATGTACCTAATTTGGATTTATACACAACACTTGAAAATGATTGATTTAATTAAATCCCTAACTAATCCCCTAATTAAACTCTCAATTAACCCCTAAAATCTTAAAAAGAAAAAGAAAAGCCACGTGGCGGGCTTTGGTGAGCCTCTATATTTGGGGATCCCCATTTCCACCCCCAAATTTGGAGTTCCATTTGCAGGATCCTCCATTTTTGGATATCGAAACCTCCCCATTGGACCATCTCCTCCTCCATTTTTGCAGATTCCCCCATAAATGGGGTGCCCATTGGACTCGGCCTTAGGAAGGAATGGAGGGGGAAAAGTGGAATATATAAAACTTTTTGGGTAAATACAATTTAATATCCAAACCTTTCATTTTAAACAATATAATAGCCAAACCTTTTCGAAAACAATATAATATCCAAATCGTCAACTTTCCGTCCGTTTGACCGTTGGTTGACACTTCAAAAAAGCTTTGTTTAGGGGAAATTGTCGCAATACAACTTTGTTTTCTTGTTTTGGCATTGCAGATGACTAAATATTTAGATATTCTATACCATCATGGTGGAGTCATGGACTTCTCGGGTTTGGAACCACGATATGTTGGTGGTTTTCCAGTGAAGATATCGGTGGATATTGATGAAGCGTCGTACTTCGAACTTTTTTGAAGTGTCAACTAACGGTCAAACGAACGGAAAGTTGACGATTTGGATATTAGATTGTTTTCGTAAAGGTTTGGCTATTATTTTGTTTAAAATGAAAGGTTTGGATATTAAATTGTATTTACCCAAACTTTTTTTAGTCTCAATTTGGGTTGGTTCGACGCTCACGAGATTGGCCGGTTGCCCATCGCTTTCTTGCTTCGTTTTAAGCTGTTGTTCTTTGTTTCCTTTGCCGCAGACCGCAGTCTCCCTGTTTCATTTGATTGGGTAAGTGACCCTGTGTCTGATATATGGGGTAATTAAGATAAACGGTCACAAACCTTTACATTTAGTACAAAACGGTTATAAATTTTTAATTTGTAACAATTCGGTAACTTACTTTTGACCATATACCAAAACGATCATTCCGTCTATCTCCGTCAAAAAAATCTGTTAATTTAGTCTAGTCAACCATCTCGTCAGCATCCATTTCATCAAAAGAATTAATAAAAAATAAATAAAACCAAACCAACCAGCCCCCAATTCCAACCCAAACAATTCCTCTCTCTCCTCTCCCTCTCTGCCGCCATCTCCACATCGCCAGAGGACCTCAACCCCCGAGCAGCACTGGTTTTGGGGATAAGGGCTCTGAAGAGGAAGTTTGACAATCTAATGGCGGCGGAGGAGCGAAAGCGACGGCGGTGGGATTCATTGTAGAACGAGTAGAAGGAAGGCAGCGCAGTCGGTGAGGTGGCAAACATGTTGTGATTCGCAGTTCCAGGTGCGGATTCCCAGGTGAATGGGATGGAACTGGATGCACCGCCGTAGTAATACTCTGAAGGAGGGGTTACGGGTAGCAGCGGGAACAAAATCATCACCCACCATTTGGGTTCAATGGAAGAGAGGCAAACTTAGCTAGGTATAATCTCGCCTGTGCCAATTGGAACGAAATCACTTCGTTCCTGTTTGTTTCCCCCCCCTCTGTGTTTTAAGTTTTAACTTTTAATTAATTTAATGAGATGCCCATTACCAAAAAAAATGAAAGAGAGGCGAATGAAGTTGAAGAGACACGGAGGAGGAGGAGAGATTCCGTCGAGGACAGTTCTCCACCATGAATCATCGGGAGATCAAGAGAGTTAAATCGAGAATACCTCATGGGGGTTAATTGAGGAAGGAGGCCTGAGATTTTGAGAAGTTTCGCGACGGACATTGAGGATGAGAGAGAAGGCCAGGTCGAGCTGCGACCGCGAGATGGTGGACGGCGGCAAGAGATCCGAGGTGAGGGACAATAGTTTTGTCTTAGGGTGGGGTCAGGTTGGTTACGGGTGCCGAGTTGGTTTCGGTTTTTTGGTTGGTTTTTTATGAATTTTGTTAATGACGTGGACGCTGACAAGGCAAATCTAACAGAAAATTGGATAGAGATTAACAGAAGTGACCATTTTGTACAAGTTCATACTTTTGTTACCAAATCGTTACAAATGAAAGGTTTGTGACTATTTTGTACTAAGTGCAAAGATTTTTGACTATTTATGATAACTACCCGAAATATGTCACGTTTGTATAAAGTCTATATTAAGATCTGACCAAAGCCAATTGTATGTAACAACTAGGTTAATTGCCATGTGGCCCGGTGACCTATATACCTAATAGACATAACTATAATAAAAAAAGCTGTTGAGACTCACGAATTAAAAAACAAATTCATAGTATGCCCGATGATAGTAAGTAATGCAGAACTCGCCATGCCGCAACAATGTGATCAAGATTAGGGTGTGCACAAACTAACTGAGAACATTCATTGTACAATGTGACATCGGATATCGTGCTAGTTGAGTAAAGAATTCATTCAATTAACTATTAGTAAGCATCTACGTCACCAACCTAAGCTAATGAGCATTGTGATTTTTTTTCCACTCTGGAGTCTGGACAAGCCAGGTCGAACCCCTCTTACCTCCAGCTTTCTCCAGGATATCCAAAGTGGACTTCCTCTGAATGAGTTCATCAACCTTATCGGGTACGACCACTTCAACTTTTGAGGAATATGCAAGATGTATGCTGAGATTCATGGCATTGGACTTGGTGTAAAAAATTTCACTCGATGCCTGTGGTAGTATGAAAACAAAAAGTTGTTTGTATGAGATTCATGACGGGGGCCTAGGGGTATGTAATGACACGTAAAACATATATATTTTTATAACCTCATTTCATGGCATATTTTGTATCATTTATGCATATGTTTATCCATTAAGACTTGGAATTGTTTAGTATTTTCTCAAATATGTGTTTAGTAGCCTCTATTTGTGTTTTTATGCTTTTGATACCTTTATATAGTATTTTAAAGGCTTAATTACACGTTTGGTCACTCAAATTATACAAATCTTTCACGTTTGTCACTCGAATTACTTTTCTTTCTTATTCGCCATTAACTTTACGAATCGTTTCACCGCTAGTCACCGACCGTTACACTCCGTTAAATTTGTCCTACGTGGTAGTCAACTATAAAGTTTCACTGTTAACTAGATGACGTGGAAATTTTAGAAAAAAATATTTTTTATTTTTTATTTTATCACCTCATCATTACACTTACTTTGTCTATATGAGTTATCATATTAATTATTTTTAATAAAAAGTAAAAACTTACAAAAAGGAGTTATCAGCGGAGGAAGAAATTGCAGAGTCCGCTGTTGATTTACCATATTCCTCTTCTTCATCTTCGCTCGTTGAAACTATGCAGCGGCGATGGCATGACACAAATTCATTCCCGGGGTTGGACTCGTGAGTTTGCCTCTAGAAACGCTCCATAATATCCAACGTCGCGAATTCACCCTTCTTGCTCGGAGAAGAAGTCGGGACAACACCCTTCGGAACGACACTTAAAAGCAAGCTCTGGAACAGAGTTTGCACACTGATTGCTCCACCCCCGCCGCCATAGGCGGAGGGAGAGCAGTTTGCCCTTGTCCCAGACAATGGAAAATTTTGGGAGGGTAAAAAATAACCCACATATGTTTGAACTCAGAATAAACTCAACACCTACAAGTAATATAAGGATATGTTGGCACTACACTATAATTCATTACTTGTTCAGTAATTGCCAAAATATAATTAATTTATTGGTTTCATTCATGACACTATTATTCGACAACGGATTATTGGGTATTATAATTATTTTATGGCTGATGAGAGATTTGTTGGATTGAAAGGAATTGATAAATGATCTCAGATCATGGTGGAGACAAAAGTGCATAGGTTATATCGGTCAGTTTATTTGCTTCTGAATTAGTTTTGATACTACCAGTTGCAACTTCGAACGTAAAAAGAGCATTTTTAGATTGATATATTCAGAACAAGTTTCGAAGTCAAATTGATGATTAGTTTGTTAATGATTGTTTAGTGGGATATATCGAAAGAGGCTCACTTAAGAGTAGGAATGTCAATCCAACCCGTAACCATGGGTACCCTACCCGACCGTAACCGGTCAACGAGGGTAATTACCCTCTTTGACTGGTTAAGGGGCGGGTATGGGTAATATCTGGTTTCAAAATAAAGGGTAGGGTATGGGTATGGTACTCGATAATACCCGCCCTGTTATACCCGCCCCGCTAACCAAAAGGTCAATTTTCCTAGCCCTAATCCTACCCAGCAGTCGATTTTCCTTGCTCACACACAAGTGAGGTGCTTGCTCAGGCTCTTCTTGAAACTGTACTTGCTTGGGATATTGACACAAAGGTATCTAAGAATACCTTGGATAATTATTCTACTAATGATGTCTTGATGGATGTCATGAAACATAAGTTAAACAATGAGCATTTGATGTGGTTTGGTTCTAATATTGTCTTTGATGTATTTGTTTATGTGTGGATTGTTGAAGCTAGAACAAATATGATGTATTGTGTTTTTGTTTGTGTGGATTGCAGAAGCAAGAACAATTATTATGTATTTGCTGTTTTTATTTGTGTGGATTGTTGAAGCTAGAACAGTTACAAGTATTGAGAATTTTTAATGAACAACCCTATGTATGTGCATATATGTGTATAAGTTTATATTTTAGGATTCGTACACATCGTTACCCGAATACCCATGGTTACCCGGTGGGTAGGGTATGGTTACTTCATTTTCATACCCGATGGTTATTTGGTCGGGTATTTTAGGAGGCTCTACCCGGCGGGTTAGGAGTTGGTATAGGGTAAACCCTCACCCGACCCTACCATTGCCATCCCTACTTAAGAGTGTAAACAATTAATGTATTTTGTAATTCTCTCATAATATGAAAACTCGTCGTGGTTGTTTATGCAAACAATAATTGTATTAATCGCTATTTATTTATCTATTAATGAATTATTTGAATATTATTAATTTTTATATTTTGAAAAAAGGACAGGAGTAGTTCTTAATCCTGTCTCCGCCACTGCCGCCGCTGCTGCTCGTTACCAGCAGCTTCCTCACCTCCGCGTTAGAGACGAACGAAGCGGAAATGACAACCAATAGAATCAACACAACACCAGAAGCACGAGCCATGTCGAGTAAAAATCTAGGACGAAGAGAGAAATTGTTTTTGGAAAACAGGGGGTTTTGGCTCTCTTTGCTTGCGCGGGTAACTAAGCAGGGGATAAGATGATTTCGCAGTGGGATTTAATGTGGGGTTTGGTAGGGGGAAGAGGGGATTATATAGGCAGAGAGTGGCGGAGTCAAATTTTTGGTAAGACGGTTGGATGGCGATGGAGGAAAGGTAGATACAGAGAGTATTGATACCCCGAGTCAGATTCAGATTACTTCTCTCTTCCCAGACTCGATCGAATCAAGTTCACCAGAAATCAGTTGCCCATGCGGTTCAGGATGGAGAATAGAGGGATCAGGCTTCAGATGCTGAAAGCGGAATCAGAATCTAACAGAGTGATCATGAATAGCTTTGAATAGCTGGAGACAGAGTATGTCGAGGAATTGAAGAAAGGGGGAGGTGGGAATGGGAAAATCTGTTGCGTCGCGGGAGTGCTGTTGATTACGTGGTTGTTGCTCGGGGACCAGTTTGTGAACGAGAAGCTGGCTGTCGAAGTGCTGGGGATCGGTGTTAGTCTGGGAGTGGAGTAGCGAATGATGGTGGATTGGGAGGAGGTCGAAGCGGCGGCGGTCAAGAGGGAGGATGTGGTGAGGGCAGTGTAGAGAGTGGTGGGCGACGACGAGGAGTGTGAAGCGATGAGGAAGAGAGCGACGGAGCTAGCCGGGATGGCTCGGCAAGCGATGGAGAGCGGCGGATCTTCTTATGAGAATGTTACGCGGTGCTCTGTGAGGAGTTGAGAGACGGGGAGGAGCAAGCTCGAAGGCGGCCTTGTAGGGCTTCGACGGCGATGAAGAGCGACCGGGGGGGGGGGGGAGGGGCTGGGATTTTGGTGCAAATTAGGCGCTCAATAATAGGGTTTGGGAGATTGAATGGGGTCGGAGCTGGGGAAGAAGAGGGGGAATGGGTGAATGGGTCGGTTCAGGGGTTGATTGGGTTTGGGTTGAGTTTATGATATGGAGGGGTTAATGATGTGGCCTGTCTTTTTTATTTTTATTTTTCTGGTTAAAATAGGATGACTAAGCAACTCTGTTAGCCACGTCTGCAGTTAACTGACGGTACTAACGGAGTTTGACGGAGGTTAATGGAGACTGACCAAAGTTGGATTGTTCAACTAATTTAAGTGACTACGAATGGAATAAACCAATTCGACTGACCAAACATGAAATTTTGTAGCAATTCGAGTGACTGATAATTGTCGAAAACATATCGATTCCATGTGCTTAATGTGATTATTTCATAATATGTTTGAGACCTATAATACTTGTTTGAGGTCCAACTAAGCCTGGAATGGTTATAAAACCATTACCATCAAGTGCCAAA